ATAGTCAAAGAGTAAAATAATATACAAATTTAAAACAAAACTCTGGAGATAACAACTAGAATTATGTATACTAACTTATAATATTCATTAATAATTCATAAGTTACACAGCCATTTAGTGACCTCCGTTATTGTAGTCACATGACTACCCTTGTGTTCACCAATACAAACTTAAAGCGCGGGGAGGGCTTGAATTCAGAGCAGGGAAAGGGTGGGGTTAATGAATAATAACAATAGAGAATGACATCTATTAGTATTCTGTATAAAAATACAGAATACTAAAATAGATCTGTTAGCCTACTATAGAAACAAAATGAATTGAAAAAACAATGTATCAGGAACACTTATAATATATTCGATACTTGGGCACACTAGTCATAAAACTGTGATAAGTATAACACCTCGCCCATTCTTAATCCTCCACAAATATGCAGATCGAGAGGATTTCAATTCCCCTCATCGCAATAAAAACGAGCTTACGGCTTGTTATGAAAAAGGAATAAATCAAAACAAGACAAAAGAAAGCATTCAGCCTCAGTGATCTTCCATCAGCTGTGCTTAGCTTTTAGCTATATATCACTGACAAAAGCAACCCCTTCCCCTTATAAAAAGCTTGATCCGCCCCTGTGATGTAAGGTGTTATCATGCTCTGATAAGTCAGACTTATCGGTGTAAGCCAGTTTCATGCTTCTTTGGTGTTCTGTTCGCCTCGTGTGTAACGACCTACCTGTAGGACAGTCAGCACATGAGATTTTATAAACTACTCCAGTTCTCTTTTTTTTTTTTTTGAATTTACATTGTTATCATGGTTATACCTCTAACCCACCCCCACCCCTTCCCTATTGTACCAAAATATATGAGACACCTCTTCTTACCTTTAATGTAGGATTCCACTCTGGAAATCTATGCTCTGCTGTGAATTTATTAAAATAAAAGAGGATTTGTCCTGCTTTACATCGATATTCTAGCCAGTCATCCAGGCTGTCTATGATTTGGGGCATTTTCCTAAGTTGAATCATAACATTATTCTCAATAATGAAGGCACATCTGACAAGACAACGGGTCGACAACCACTCCAGCAATAATACACAAATGTATACACAGAACACAAAGATCCAGACATTCATTGAGGTGCTGCGTGCACGTGTAGAGTAAAATGTCGGTATTTACAACATTTTCATCACTGAATCCACACAATATTTTAAACAAACAATTCAATTAATAATTACCTGAGTTACAGTTAAATTCCACTACAAATCCACGCCAAAATGACAATAGTTTTGATAAATCTTGATCGACAACAAGATCGCATTCGTGCAAAGAATCAGCACCAAGTATTGTGGGATAGCACAGCCTCGTTTTCATGAATTTCCCGCCAAAAAACAACGAACAGTCACAACAATTCCACAACAGTGGAATCGTTGAAAATGACTCTGTTTGTATGTCTGGGTAAACTAGTAGTCAGTGAATCAATAAAAACACCACAAAATATACTTTTTTAAGGAATAAAAGACGAAATTCCGTGTTTGATACTCTGATCAAAACACGCGGGATGTAGGGAGAGCACGAGAGAAGCGTAGGAAACCACGACGTGTAGCGGAGTGGTTTCCAGCTTTTCGAGTGCTCTCCCTACATCCCAAGTGTTTTGATCAGAGTATCAAACACGGAATTTCGTCTTTTATTTATTTTCTAAAATTTAAAGAATAGAAAAAATTTTTGAAATACTCGCTACGCTCGTGTTCCTAAGCTTGCTTCTCTCGTGTTTTGCGAACTCCCACCGTGTTTATATCAGAGGACAGAGACACGCGCGCCGTTTTATATTTCTTAAATCAAACATGGTTTTCGACCACGATCACGACAGCGCGCGTAGTATCCTAAGTATTTTAGAAAGCTTACTTAAAAACGCACGAAAATGTACACATTGAACCAAATCAACAAAGCAATGCAAACCGGCCAAATAATTTAAAATTATAATCATAAAGTAAATAATCGAAAATAAGCCTATAATCCTTTTTTCAGTAGATCACCTGGTCGTCGGTTCGAGTACAGCGAGATTGAAAATTTTCTTTTTCGAATATATTTCGAAAAATGTTTTGTCGGAATATAACCTCCTAGCATGTCCTAGACTACAACTATTTATCATTTCTTCCTACAAACATGGACAGCTGGCCATTACCAGCCTTCCTCTTCCCGTGGAACGGTATTTACCCCTCTTGGTGCTATTTTTAGATTTTCCCTATTTCGTCACATCATGGACCTTTATATCTGATAAAACACTCCTTATTATTACTCCTTATTAGTATTCTTTTTTTCTGCCACTACTTTATGGAACTCTCTCCCATCTGATTTAAGAAACATTGACTCTTTGCTGTCCTTTAAGAAAGAGCTCAAAACTTATTTGTTTAGTT